GTCAGAGATGCTGTAAGTGTGATCTAACCTGACCACAGCTGCAGGATCCTGAACAGATGGGACACCCTCCACCCAGAAGTGTTTCAGGTGAGCCGGAAGAGTCCTGCTCCTTCTGAGGTGTCGTCGCTCCATGAAGATCAACTTTCCAAATCAGACAAATCAGATGAAACTTGTGAGACTGGAGAGTTCAAAGAGCTCGAGTGATCAGACTCAGAGAGTTGTGTTGATTTCCAGTGTAAACTCAAGTCGCCGTGGTGACAGAATATTGAACTGGTTTAAATGTAAACAACAGTTGATCAGCAGAAAGTCAATCAGAGCAGTACAAGAGCTCTTCTCCATTGATTCTCTGTTACACACTTGGTCTTTTTACAGTATATATACATGAGTATAGTGTAAACAGAACAAAATTTGAGTTAAATTTTATTCAAATCAATTAGGCAGCAGATTCTCTAATAATATTAATATTGATATTAATAATAACAACAACAACAATAATTATAATAATAATAATATATTTTACATAATAGTAAATAAAATATATATAAAATATTATCCACATTTATTTATCTATTTATAAGAATAATTTCAGTGATATTTTTTATTTATTATGCCATTTTCTATATTAGAAATGTGGTCACTTTCTAATTTATATTACCCTAAAGACCAGTGGCAGTGCTTTATTCAATTAAAAATGTATCTTTCATTTCAGTTTAATATGATTTTTTATAATATTTTTTTTCTCAAGATCGTCACCTTAGAATTATAAGGTTCTTTCTGCGTTCATTTATTTTATGTTTACATTTATTTTTATGTTTTATGATGAATATTTTTTCTTTTAAAATTAAGCATACAAGGCTGTACTAAATATTTTTTTCCAGTGCAGCTGTTAGTTTTATCTGATTAACATGTTCATATTTATTCAATTTTATGCTTTAAATAAATTATTGAATTATATTTATTGAATTATATGCTCTATGAAATAAATTAAGTATTTGCCCTTCAAGGCTTAATATTAAACTTATAGACTTTAAAAGAAACAATGAGCAAATGAGTTTAATAAACACGGAAAAGTGTTTCACTGACTATATATACAAAAATAAAAATATTTCACTTTTAATATAACATTTTTTAAATATGAAATTATTTTTCAACAATGTAAAATTGAGCGTTTCATCTCAACATTTGCGTAGCAGTGGCGCAGTGGGTAGCACGATTGCCTCACAGCAAGAAGCTCGCTGGTTCGAGCCTTGGCTGGGTCAGTTGGTGTTTCTGTGTGGAGTTTGCATGTTCTCCCCGTGTTTGCGTGGGTTTCCTCTGGGTGCTTTGGTTTCCCCCACAAGTCCAAAGACATGCGGTACAGTTGAATTGGATAAGTTAAAATTGGCCATAGTGTATGTGTGTGATTGAGTGTGAATGGGTGTTTCCCAGTGTTAGGTTGCAGCTGTAAGGGCATCCGCTGTGTAAAACATATGCTGGATAAGTTGGCGGTTAATTCTGCTGTGGCGACCCCAGATTAATAAAGGGACTAATTCTTTAATTGACTCTGATTTTGTCTTTCTGGTGTTTCCCGCTGTCAATGGAGCAGTCCAGTGAAATGACAAAGAAAGCTGATCCTGATTGGTCCTCGTGCATGCATTAAAAATGCTGATTTGCTCACAGATAGAACCTTATAGAGCCAAGCTAGAGTTCAACTTTGCAGATAAACCGTTTTAGTTTTTTAAATAAAAAGCCGTAAAATGTAAACAACTTATAAAAACACATCCCATAATGTAAATAAGTTGCCATTTAAAAAGAATATGTGAATAACTCAATTTTGACAAAAATGTCAGATAGAACCTTATAATTCTAAGGTGGCGAAGTAAAATACTTTAAGTTCAAAACAGAGTTCAATATAAATGTTTTTGATTAAGAACTCAACTAAGAAATGTTTTGACCAATGTCAAATGTTAAGGTTACTCACACAGGCCAGTGCATGTGTATTAAACAAGCTCAATATGTTTTATGGACTTTATTTTTTATTGGCTCTAGTGATCAAATTCAGATGTGAAACCAGTACCCTAATTTTGTAATTGTATGAATGAACATTTTATGGGAACTTTTGTTTTGACTGATATTTTTTATTTAAAGCAAACAGAGAATTTAAATTAATTTATTTTCTTCAACAAGACAAATGTTTTGTACCAGGTTATATAAAATTGTTCTCATGGAGAAAGAAAATATTATTTAAGACAAATAATTTATTTTTCATTGGGTCACGTGATAACATTTAGATGTGAACCATTACCTTAATTATTTTTAATTGGATAAATGAAAGCTTTTTTTAGTGCAGGCTGTTGCTACAATTAAATTTAGATGTGACCACTTACTAGAAAATGTAAAGTTTTTTTTATTTTACAGTCTATAAATAATAATCATTTATATTTATAGCATTATTATAAATATTATTTAATCAAAATATTGATTAAATATTGATTTTAATATTTGTTTTATTTATTGTATTTTTAAAATTATGATCATTGTTGTTATGATTTTTATTATATTATAGTTTTTAGATAAATTTGTGGTGAATAATTTTGAAAATCATGTTGACAGGGTAATAATTATATATGATCATAATTGTTTTAATTTTTCATAATAATAATTTCATTATAATTATATAAAATAACACAATTATATAAAACACAATGAAATTCAGCATAATAGAAGAAAAAGAAAATGCATGCAGACTCTTTTTTATTTTTTATGAATGATTTTATTAATTTGTTTATTCATTTATTTAGGATAGTTGCTTCCTCAAATCCACCTGTGACTTCCACTTCTTCAGGTGATTCTGATGTTACTCTTCTGCTGGAGAACAGGTAAATCTTCTGCTGTCCAGAATCAGATGGTTTGTCTTAGTCGGGCATCTCAGCTGAGACCAGTCCACTATGGGTGACCCTGCCAGTATCTGTGAAATACCAGTGGCGAAGCTCTCAGCATCACTGATGCACACAAGCCCTCACAGCACGTCAAGCTGCAAACCACGTGAGGGACCCTAACCTAACCTACCCTACCCTAACAGGCACTGCAAATCACTAAACGCATCGAAACAACGAGAAGAGTCCATCGACTGACCAGCAACACGAGAACAACCGACCAGAAACCCTCCTGAAGACCACACAGCAATGCAGTAAAGACCACCGAGAGAACCAAGAGCCTCAATCAAGAAAAACAAGCAATTGATGAAACAAAACATGCAAAAGGAAACTTACTGTGAAGTTGCTCTACAACTATGTACAGTATATACATACACAGGCCTGCAGTGTGGTTTGGGACACTGTGAAGATTCAGCGTCTGGCCCTCTTTCTTCTGGGCTTCTCAGGCAGTGGCTCTCCACTGATGTCCACATGGACTCGAGGAGCGATGCTGTATGGTCGGGATCCACATCTGCTCTCCGTGATGAGGATTCGTCCATCGGCTTGCTCCTTCTCCTCCACTACAGGACACCTGAGCGCCTCCCACAGCCGCTGCTTGATCTCCAGGCCCAGCTGCAGGCTGTAAGGACGGTCCTTCATCATGGGCTCCACCACAGAACGGTAGATCTCCTGGTAGGCCTGAACACTGTAGCCGTGAATGGTGAGTGGCTCCTCCTGCTGTCCCGCATCCACTGAAGACACTGGGGATGCTGGACGTAGAGGTGGAAGGACAGCCGCATTCCTCAGGTGACGCTGCTCCAAACCTGGGTCAGAGATGCTGTAAGTGTGATCTAACCTGACCACAGCTGCAGGATCCTGAACAGATGGGACACCCTCCAGCCAGAAGTGTTTCAGGTGGGCCGGAAGAGTCCTGGTCCTTCTGAGGTGTCGTCGCTCCATGAAGATCAACTTTCAAAATCAGACAAATCTGATGAAACTTGTGAGACTGGAAAGTTCAAAGAGCTCGAGTGATCAGACTCAGAGAGTTGTGTTGATTTCCAGTGTAAACTCAAGTTGCCGTAGTGACAGAATATTGAACTGGTTTAAATGTAAACAACAGTTGATCAGCAGAGAGTCAATCAGAGCAGTACAAGAGCTCTTCTCCATTGATTCTCTGTTACACACTTGGTCTTTTTACAGTATATATACATGAGTATAGTGTAAACAGAACAAAACTTGAGTTAAATTTTATTAAAATCAATTAGGCAGCAGATTCCCTAATAATATTAATATTAATATTAATATTATTAATGATAATAAAAAAAAATAAAATAAAAATAATAATAATAATATATTTTACATGATAATAAATAAAAAATATATAAAATATTATCCGAATTCATTTTTCTATTTATAAGGAAAATTTCTGTGATATTTTTGATTTATAATGCTATTTTCTATATTACAAATGTGGCCACTTTCTAATTTATATTACCCTAAAGACCAGTAGCAAGGTTTGAACTTAAATTATAATATAAAGTACAAACAAACAAAGAATATTCAAATTGCCAAGCAATGTGGCTAAACTGGGTGAAGTTAGAACGAGTAGGTATTTTATTTTTAGTTAATTAATATATGACAAAAGATTAAATGGACACTTTGAATCACACCAAACCACTAGATGGCAGTATGATTCTAAATGTTTATTTGAAGCAAAGAGGATAGAATCATTTTAAGCTCTTTGGTTGGAGCAAATGGCTTAGAATGACCAAGACGCGACATTGCAACAGCAGCGCCCAGCAACAGCCCCGGATTACGCCATTTTGGAGTGAAAGCGATTGGCCGTCCATTGGATCTTATTGCTTTCGCGATGGCAAGCAGCTGCTTTGTTTTTTTATTAATTTATTTTAAAAGCACATTAAAGCTGAGATACAACCTGAAAGACGACAATACAGCACTTACTATGACAATCATCAGCACTTTTAATAGTTTATTTTACAGACTTATAATATGCTGTTGCTCTATTGGAGTGTTCGTTCCAAAAATGGCCGCCGCGCCATCTAGTGGCTGTTTGCCAAATTGCACTACATGATAGCCTCTTGGTGATTCTATGTTCTTTGGTTGAAGCCAGAGGAGGAAAAAACCCGGAAAAAGCGTGTTGATCACCTGACCAGTAGTGGATGCCCAGTGTTTTTGACAAGTTTTCGATTTATATATTTCTTTTTCCTTCATTTTTGTCCTCCTATCCTGCACTTAACGGATCTATTAACTCAGCAGCGAATTCGACCAAACTCGCGACTTAATAATATTAACCGAGACATTTTATATAATAATTGCACATTTCAAGTGAATAATCTTTTTTTTATGTGAACATTTTCAATGTTTTCTGGATAGGCTAACATTAAACCGTCGTGTTTTATAGTGGAGTGTGTTTATTCGAGCTGACAAGACTTTCATATGTTTTCCAAGCATAAGCTATAAGCTGTTTTAACAATAAACAAATTGCATTAAAACCAGACTACTCTGAATAAGTTATGGGATATGGCTACACCAGAGCTGATGCTGAGCCTTGGATTAATTGGTAAGTTAAAAAAACTGAAGAGTAAAACCATTTATACATGTGTAGACTATGTGTTAACAAAAGTTACATATACTAAAGTGATGATTAAACCAGAAATACTATTCTCTTATTATTTATTGACCCTTATATGTTTTTTTTACAACCCATAGAAGAATATATTTCTTTCTGGCCTCAGTCACCATTCACCTTCATCATTTAAAATATACAGTGGAAGTCAGTGTGCAATCTCTAACTTTACTCTTCTGTCATTTTTTTTGTGTTGAAGAAAACGCCATAACATTGAATATTTGTTGCGAACATGAACTTCATATAAGTATTAAATAATGAGTATACTGTCAGTAACATAATTCTCTCTTTTCCACAGAGAAAGATGTAAATGCAGACACTCTTTGGGTTTGGTGTTATCCTTCCATCGATGCTGATCTTCGAGAAGTGATGTTGAGAAAATGCTGCTTGACGTTGGACAATCAGGTACTGCACACGTTTGTATTTGGACAGTTCTGTCGGACGTGGTACTACATCACCACTGTCGAGGTCCAGGAGCCCACTGTACTTAAAAAGGTGAGAGACTTTATGTTTTAGATTCCACTTACAAACCTGCTTTGTTGTAATATTTAATAATATATAATTAAAAATGTCTTTAACGTGTTCTTTTTATTCCATTTATTTTAGTTTAACTCTGTTTTTTATTGAAATATGTTAGTCAGAGAGCCACAGCATCAGATACACAGAATCATTAGACATCAACTGCTCCAATGTGGTGGTAGCATACAATTATGCTCACGTTTTCTTTCTCTCTGAATAAAACAATATAATTACATATTCATGCATTAAGGAAAAACAATTACAAATAAAAACAACAACAGTACAGAGAATAAATAAATACAAATACTCAAAGGGTACAGCAGTAGAAAATAAAATAATAATATATATTAAAAAAATAATAATAATAAAATAAATTAAAAAAGACTCTCCATTCGTAACTATGCCAGGGGCAGGGAAAATAAGTCAGCTATATACTTGCATACATATACACATACATACATACATACATACATACATGTTTATTTATTTATTATTTTTAAAGTGTAAGAGGAAGGGTTGCCAGATTTTTCAGTATTACCGCAAACTGTATATCTAATCTTTTCTATTTGCATAGACTGCATCAGATCATGCATCCAATGTATGTAACTGGGTGGGGAAGGATTTTTCCAGTTTAGTGTTGTGAGCCTTTTAGCAATTATTAAACAAAAGGCAAGTGCATTTGATTGTGTAGATGACAAAGAAACATTTGTAGGGTTAAGTCCAAATAATGCTACTAGGGGCATGGCTCAATATCTAAAAGAAAACATTCAGAAATTGATTTAAAAATTGATGCCCAAAAAGTGCTCACCGCTGGACAAAGCCAGAAAGTATGAAGAAGAGCTTGTCGACACCGATCACAAATTGGATCAAAACCAGGGTTAATTTTAGATATTTTTGCCTTAGTCCAATATACTCTATGCAATAATTTGAATTGTATAAGGGTATGACGAGCACAAATAGAAGAGGTTTGTACACGAGACAGAGCCTTGGACCATTCCTCGTCTGTGAAAACATGATTGAGATCTGATTCCCAGCTCTGCTTTATTTTAGAACAGGATGAGGAATCTAACTGTCTAATAAATGAAAAATTTGTTTTATAAATTTTAGAGACTGCACCTTTACAAAGTTTTGTCTCTAAAACCTGATCGATTTCTTGTTTGGGAGGTGCAAGGGGAAAATGGGAAAATGTATTTCGTATAAATTCGCGTGTCTGAAGATATCGGGGGAAAAAAAGAGTTTTGGGAAGGTAAAATTTTTCTGATAAATAAGAAAATGTAACAAATGTATCATCACAAAAACGGTCATTCATGCTTACGATGCCACTTCTAAACCATAATACAAAAGATTGGTCTGAGGTAGAGGGCAGGAAAGAAGGGTTTTTATATATGGGAGACAGACTAGACATTGTTTGAAAGCCAAAATGTTTTCTAAATTGTAACCAGATTCGAAGACTATTAAGTACTATAGGGTTAGAGGAGTAGTTTGATGTATTTAATGGTAATGAAGAGCGTAGTAACGCATGCAAAGATACTTGGGTGCAATAATGGCATTCCATTTCAACCCATGCTGGAACCCAGTGGCAGAGTCCGTAGTGTGCGTGCTCTTTTTATAATGACTAGCGATTTATCCTACTATCTACCTATTTCTAGAGCCCTTTAATGAGTGAAATTACAATAACATCACAAATGACTGAGAGTTATGTAAATGGATAGACTTAAAAGAGTGGGAATGAATAAACATGTTTAGAATTGTTTTAACTTCAGCTACTTATTTAACAATCACTGTGAGTGTGCATGGATAAAATTAGCATTAGATAATAATTTAGTTTGAAAACAAATCTAGAGTTGTGTTTGACAAGAATCTCAAAATGAGTCCCTAAAACAACTTATATTTGGAGAGTGTGGAGCATCTCATTCAAGTTTTAATGTTTTTGTGGACAGTTACAGTAAGTGGGTGGGAGTTAAATATAAAATGTATTTTGTGACTCCTTAGTTTATCTCATGACATACTTTTCACCTTAATTGTAAAATGTTTAATTTAATTATGTATGTGTTAGCCTACAGTACATATTTGTAATGTAAAAGATAACTGAATGTTCAATTTCATTCAAAGGTGACACATTTCTCTATAGTTGTCACAGCGAAGGACTTCAACCCTGAAAAATATGCTGCGTTCAGTAGAGTTCTGTGCAGGTATGTTTAACACACTCACTGTGTTGTATGTAAATGAATGGTTTTAGTGTTAGTGCCACTATTAGGAATTATAATATAAATGGATTATATAGAGTCCAAGTTTTGGTTTTGGAAGTCCCCAAGAACAGGTTGACATGCAGGCAAGGTTAAAAAAACAAAAAAACAAACACTTTTCATGCATTATATATAATTTTTAAATATATTATAAATAAAGCAAGTATTAGTAATATAAGTTTTATCGCAGTACATTATTTAAATAATATTTTATTACAATAAACAACTTTTGTTATTTAAATGATATAAAGTCTGTTCTTTAAAACAAGATCAGAATAAAAACTATATTAAAAAGCATTCCAGATTTATATTCATAGTTTCTGACATTCTTTTGCTGGCCCACACTCAAAATTGTTAAATATTTGGTAACTATTTGTATATATAAGAATCTTTTTGTTTTTGTTCAGGACATACATGAAACATGGAAGTCCTGTGAAGATGATGGAAGGCTACATTGCTGTTCTGACTAAAGGGATATGCCAGAGTGATGAGAACGGCTCTTTCCTTATTAAAGATTACGATGTCAGGAAAGCCCTCCTCGCTGGCTCCTTAAAAGGTAACAGTGAACATTTTAATGCACATTACAAGCACTTCCAGCAGCATTTAGCAAGAACTGAACAGCTAATGTCACCTGATGTAATGCATCATAGACTTTTACATAGACTTTTTGGCACATAGCCATGTGCTTAATGGTTTTTTATATTTAAATCTTTGCAGAGTCTCATTTCAGTTAAAAAACATGTGTAGTTTGCTTCAGTATAGTTAAGACTTTATGAGACGCATACTTTTTATTTTAGATGTTGTGTCACAGTTTGGTATGGAAACCATCATCCTATACACAGCACTAATGCTGAAGAAACGAGTGGTAGTGTATCATCCACGAATTGAGGCACTGCTGGAATTCACAAGGTAAACACTGAAATTTTAATGAAACTCAATTTCCTTAATTAACATTCTTAATCTAATTAAGCATGATTTACTAAAATACAGTGAAATTTATATTGTAAATTAGTTGTACAATTTAATAAGAACTGCTCTCTGTTTTGTTGTTCAAAATATCTTCATTGTCACATTTCTGTTGAGAAATCATTCTGACATCTGTTCCGGTGCTCAGAAAACAATGTTTTAGCAGTGTTTCCATTTATATAATATTATAGACATTTTGAAAGATCCAGCTTTAAAAAAATAATGGATTTAATTTGCATGAAAATAAAATATACAGTTAAAGTCAGAATTATTAGCCCCCCTGAATTATTAGACCGCTTGTTTTTTTCCCCCCCAATTTCTGTTTTACAGAGAGAAGATTTTTTCAACACATTTCTAAACATAATAGTTTTAATAACTCATTTCTAATAGCTGATTTATTTTATCTTTGCCATTATGATAGTACATAATATTTCACTAGATATTTTTAAGACAGTTCTATACAGCTTAAAGTGACATTTTAAGGCTTAACTAGGTTAATTTGGTTAACCAGGGTAATTAGCCAAGTTATTGTATGACGATGGTTTGTTCTGTAGATTATTGAGAAAAATATAGCTTAAAGGGGCTAATAATTTTGTCCCTAAAATGGTGTTTAAAAAATTTAAAACTGCTCTTATTCTAGCTGAAATAAAACTAACATGACTTTTTTCAGATGAAAAAATATTACCAGACCTACTGTGAAAATTTCCTTGCTCTTTTAAACATCATTTAGAAAATATTTAAAAAAGAAGAAAAAAATTCGAAAGGGGCTAATAATTCTGACTTCAACTGTATAGAATATATATACACATATTACATATACATAAAATATATACATATCATTTATTCATTTTCTTGTCGGCTTAGTCCCTTTATTAATCCGGGGTCGCCACAGCGGAATGAATCGCCTACTTATCCAGCACGTTTTTACGCAGCGGATACCCTTTCAGCCACAACCCATCTCTGGGAAACATACCAACATACACACTCATACATTTCAGACAATTTAGCCTACCCAATTCACCTGTACCGCATGTCTTTGGACTGTGGGGGAAATCGGAGCACCCAGAGGAAACCCACGCGAATGCAGGGAGAACATGCAAACTCCACACAGAAACGCCAACTAAGTCGAGGTTTAAACCAGCAACCCAGCGACCTTCTTGCTGTGAGGCGACAGCACTACCTACTGCGCCACTGCTTCACCCGATATATACATATACTCAAGTATAAAATAATTACTCAATTTGGGTGGATCTATATGTAGGACAGCGTGAAAAAAATACAACAAAACCATTGATCAAATATAAATATGTGCAACAAAACCTCGTATGACTAGGCCACAACTGATCATGTGATTGGATAACAAGATAACTTTGTTGTCTTCGCAACTTTGCTGAAAACTTGATCAAAATATTTTTGTGGAAACAAAATACATATTCCACAATAATCTTTGATGGACATAAAAGAATAATTAATTCGAAAAAGAAGGTTTTGTAAAATTATTGCAAAATTTATGAATCTTTGATAAAAATGTGGTAAATTTTAAAACACAAAAAAGCTTTTCAACATCAAAATAAATATTAGTTTTCTGATAATAGTGATTTCTTTAAAAAATGGTAACACCAGAATATGGTTGTGTTATTGATAATGAGTTTACTAATACAAACAAACAATGAACAAAACATTTTTATTACAATATTTGTTCATGTTGGTGAACGTTGGTTAATGCAAATTCAGTCACTCATTGTTAGCTCACGGTGCATTAACGAATGTTAACAAGCATTAATTTGGATGTTAATAATGCATTGGTAAACGCTGAACAGTGATTAATAAATGCTGTACAAGCATTGTTCATTATTAGTTCATTTTAGTAAATACATTAACTATTGAAACCTTATTGTTAAGTGATTTAAAAAACAAACAGTGTTTTTCTTTGTGAAAGCAGAGCTCTTCCTTGTCTAGTGTGGCATAGGAAAGATTGGTCCATCCTTCACCCTTTTGTTCACCTTGAAAATGATGAGCTGGAAAACCTCAAGGTCTGTACAGGTAAGATTAATTTACTCTCCTTCTAATTCTAGATATTGATATGTTTACCACACTTTGCTACATGTAGTACTATTAGTAATCATTTCTGCGTTCTCTGCAGGGTATGTGGCAGGGTTTGTTGATCCTGAAGTCAAAGACAGATCAGACTTGTTCGATGTGTTTGTTAATCTTCCAGACAGTGAGATTACTGTTTCACAAAATGCCAAAGGTGAGAGATTTGTGACTGGCAATGAGCTTAATCCCCATATGCATGTTTAACCCACTGTAACTTCTGTTTATAGAGGCAATGTCTATGGGGAAACTCCATAAAGAGATCGGCAACTTCATTGTCCAGGCTGCAGAGGACGCTGATCGTTCAGATGCGCAGGTTATTAAGGTGAGCTATGAATAACTACACATGTTGTGTTTTCTGGTTTATACATCACAGTATTTTTATTTTCTTGCCACAACATCTATTACAAATTGACTTGCATAATGCGATTCAAAATGATCAAAACGTGCACAAAATGTCTGCATATTTGGATGGACGGACAATGTAAAATAGACAAAGGCTTGATGATTATAATAAAAGTAGTTTTTGATGAATGGCAGTATAATGGAGAACAGTCTGAAAAATGTTGAAGATGGGTAGGGTAGGTTACTTTATTTATACCCGAAGGTAGATTTGGTTTGCAGTCAAGAGTCCTCATCTCATAACAGTGCCACACAAAGGAACTCGCATAGTAACAACAACAAATGAACATTAAGACAAACCGTAATCATAAAGAGTAAATAAAAAATCACTTTAAGTGTCCACCCCCCCCCCCCCCCCAACCCCCAAGTAAATGTTTAAAATGATCTAAAATATACAGGTCACTGAAACATCTCTGCTTAAGTCTATGCCTTATTTAAATGTCTAATGGCTGCTGGTATGAAACTATTTTTGTATCGTTTCGTTCTACAGCTTAATAATAGAAACCTGCGATCAAAAGGAAGGAGCTGAAACTCTGAGTGTAGGGGATGAGCACTGCAGTGTTACTTAAAATTGAATTTGGGATTCTCTTAAGCTGCCTGGTGTACACAGCCTCTAGATTGGCTAGTGACACCCCGGTCAGCTTACTGGAACACTTAACTATTTGATTTAGTGAGTTTTTATTCTTGATTTTATTCTGCTTGTGAAATTATTTCATAACTGTAACAAGAGGTAGTTCAATTATATCTTAACCAGTTAAACTCTGCGGACCTGGTACCAGGTCCTTGACGTCATCGACTTTTGCTTTAAGATTTAAAGGGCTAGCATTCCACCAGATCCCCGTATTTTGGTTTGATTGTGTTGAATCTATGTTTTATGCAAATATGCATCACTTTGTTTTTATTCTACTGTGCAAAAGTTATTTACACTTATATACACAGTATTTTGGATACCTGAGCTGGGTACTTTACACTGGTTCATTTTCATATGGTCCATATATGACACATGTACAAGTTATAGCTCAAATGAAAGCTCTGGCCAGTGCTCATACGGCTCTAGCATTCTTTTTACTGAATTATATTCACTTATAAAACAGTTGCCAAATGAATCGCGGTGTTTCCATGGCGCAGAAGTGAAAACAATACATTTATGATCAATAAGCAGCCCCAGGTAGCACAGACAGCTGTCATCTCTTACCTTATGCTGTGCGCTTCAGTGCCATTCTCCTCTGTTTTTGAGGTGATGTGCATAAGTAATCCTTTTATATGTCTGATGTGGTCCAAATACAGTGAATTATGTTTGATCAAACAAAAGAATAGTGAAATATGTAAACAATGATTGATCCCTGTGGCTTGTATAGCACCTCTCATCAGTTGGAATACAATAACTTTTGCATAGATTATGGTAGAGACATTTTTCTTTTTTCCTATGATTACAGACATGTGCAGGAAACACCAAAATTAATTACAGCACGCTAGACCACACAGAACCTAAAAGGTGCACTTTCAAATTTGAGTTTATAAAAAAAAAAAACAATCTTTATTAGGTGTTTATTATAACACAGTAGTGTTTTATGAAAATTCAAAGGGTTTTCTTTAAAATGATAAAAAAAAAAAGTTTTGCATTTACACATCTGCATGTGGATTTGGGAAGCTTTTAAATTTGGGTAGGCAAAATCCAGGCGGAAATCCCAAAATAGCAGCAGAGTTTACCTGGTTAATGTTAAAACAGCTGGCATAACATTATTTTTCAACATAAGGACCTTCTTGCATAATGCTGATATGAGATATGAAAGACAATTGATAGTTGGCAAATAAATTGGGTGCATATATTTGTAAGTCAGTGCCTCACCAGCCACAAACCTCACTGCTCATCACTGTCATCTTCAGATCATGCAGACAAAAAAAAGTATTAATATTTATTAGGCAAACCATTCTCAAATAACATAAGACATGAAAAACTAATAAAACCCAAAGCCCCTTAGATTTGGAGCATAAATGGCTGATCTCTGCCCTTGTCTAGCATTTTGATGTTCTTTCAAAATCTGCTCATTCATTCTCCTTTTAGCCCGTAACGTGCATTTAGTCAATATATGAACCTACTTGTGAGGAATTAACCAAAAACAAAACAAAAATGAAATCCCCAGAACGTTGTGATTTTAACCCAACCCCTTTTTTCCATGTTTCAATCTGTCTCCAGGATATTTCAGTCAAAACTAAAGAGATCCTCAGTAACTTGATGTCTCTCGCCGACCATGCAGACAACTCTAAGCTGACTTTGGAGAGTCTGAAGCAAGGGCACTATCCTCCAGCGACTGAGAACTTCCTGTTTCACTTAGCAGCGGCTGAGCAACTGCTGAAGATCTGACCAGTCGCTCGATCCCACAGGCATGTGTCACATTCAGGAATTTACCATTCACAGTGAGATCACATATTGAACTGGAACATTCAAAACAATATTTGTCCAATATTGAACATGTGAGCTGGTTATATAGAAATATAAAGACATGCAAAATAACTAAAAATAGTCATGTGATCAAGTTAAGACACCCTATTAAATTATATTTCTTTTCATATCAGGACAATAAAGATTATCTTATCTCTGGCAGAGGTCTTAAAATTTGGAAAATAAAACCTCAGATGAACAACAACATGTAGTATTAACAGAAGTCAGGCATGGCTAATCAAATGCCTGAACTGATCATTAGCTTACATTGGGGCCTTCAGGTGTGTTAACAATACACATCTGAGCTAAAATTATATCATGCAACAAATTAATGATCCCAAACAAACCAGCAAATCGACAACAGTAAGAAAAAAAAATCTGTATTTTGAGGCCTAATCCCAATTCTATTTTTGTACCCCTTCCCCTTCCTCTTGGCCCTTGAACGCGAGTGTGAAGGACTTCACTATTGTCACCTTGGGCTAGCACACCTGGGCACACCTAGGCTAGCTAATCATCTCCTACTAAGCTTTCTAGAAACATCCTTGCAGGTATGTTCAGGCAAGGAGCTAAAATCTGCTGGAATTTGAACCAGCTTTATTTTGTTAAATACTGCAAATAATAACATGGTGTGAAGAACAAGTCATGTGACACTGTTCATATGAGGATTTATCTTCCAGATATTAATTCCTGCCAAGGACTATGAAAACCATGAAATTCAACAGGGTGTCCTAATATTTCCATGACTGTTAAACACGGGTCTGTTTAAGAATTAATGCTGAATGTGACATTTCTAATCATCAACACAGGTTTGATTTTTGAAACTAATAATAATCTCAAACCTTTTGGTAGCACTTTGATCTGAAGTAAAGGAACAATTTATACACAAGCATTCCTGAGGTATCTAATTAAGTTGTGCATAATCATAGTTTTGCATGCTGTTTTAACTTTTGTAAGATTTAAACATTGCACATTGATGTAAAAGGGCTCACAGCTGCTTACTTCATGCATAACTAAAAGACATTTGTTGAACTGTAAAACAATAATAGTGTTGTTAATGGGGTATATGCACACAGACTGCTAGCCCAAGCGCTTCCGGTTGAACTGTCGCGCCATTACAGAGTTTCCACATTTAGGATCTGAAAGCTTGAAAGACCAGTGGTCTTCACTGCCTGATGAATATATGATATAAAGTGAGTATCAGACCGGGCAAGAAGCACTGCATTAAATTCAATTTTTTCATGCCATGTCTTGAAAATATGGAAATTTATTTTACCTATGAATTTGTGATAGAGTTTCTGCCTGCTGCTACTGACGGTGCTAGTGTTCACATGGTCTTTCATCTCATTTTAGGCTTGAACAACTGAATGCTTACGTCTATTTAACGGATTATATTTTAATTAAAATACAACATCAATGCTGTAAAAGGAAGCTTCGGAAAATAGCCACATAAACCTTTCACTGGAAGTTCATCATCAGCTGAAAAACAGTAGCTGTGCATATATCCCTTTGTTAATTTAACATAGAATTGGGTTGCAATAAAATCAGAATGTAAAGAAATTGAATCCTGAAAAACCAGAGTGCCAAAATGTTATGATTTTAATTAACAATCTGTTGGTATAATCATGTAAAATTACTTTTTATTAATGAATAGTGTTTGAAAGTATAAATATTCATTCCTAATTTTCCAGATTTCTAACTTTATTCCCACATTTTGCATTTCCATTGAGTGTCCATAATATTCACATTTAAATTCCTTCATGTTTTTTGTTTAATCTACTTAATGTTAATCCCCTTGTAATAAACTACTAATCTATGTGCCTAAAAAGATCCTAAAAGACATTCTGATCATACATGCAATATGTCTTACAATATATGAGGATGGTCAGACTCTACTTAACTCTGACATTGTTGTTTCCTCTGATGTTTGAATAAATGTGAACAAATAATATATTTAACATGTCCATGAGTGGAAAAAGGGTATGGTGAGGTGATGAATGTTTAAGTGTCTTTTAGTATTAATTGTGAAGATCCATTTCAGTGCAGTGCTTAAACCATTTTTATCCTGAAATGCAGCTATTAAATTAAAACAGATTCAAAAACATACATTTGTCCTTCTTGCTTAAGCCATTAAAGTTTTGCTATAATGGGTTTTTTATTTAGCAGAGAGGTTTCTGATGCTGAGAAAAGAGGAAACGCTGCAATTTATATTACAAGCATATATGGTATTTATTAATTAATTTTTTTACCTTTTGTTGGAGACCAAAATTTAGTTCTTTTAAAATGGCATAATCAAGGTTGCTTGAGCAGTAATGCAGCATTAACCAATACATTTTTTAAAGACTGCATGCTTTCAAAACATAGCTGCTACCATTATTAACATTTGCAAAAATGAACTGGGCATTTCGTATACTCTATTATTTTTATTGAAACTTTGTGTCTGCAAAATCTCAACAATAGTCACCCTCAAATAGGCAAGTTCACAATGTCAGCTTTACAATCCTCTGTGGTAAAACAGCTCCTCGTTACCGTCAAGTGACTGAAACTCCTTTTCTAAATTCTCCTTCTTTATCTGCAAAAACAAAAGTTGCTTAGCTTGAGTCATGCCCATCAATTGGTGATGAATGCAGTTTTGATTAGCTTAAAACAATTTTTGGTTGCATAAAACAATAATTATTGTAAAAAGCGCTATACAAATAAACTTGAATTGAAACAAAAAAGTTAAAGGTGCTGTATGTAAGTTTCTGACTCTTCTAAAGCATAAAAATAAATGTTTAAGAAACATGCTAAGTGAATATTCTTGTTTATCTGAAAAACTATGCTGAAGTCAGATATTATGCTGAAATGAAATGAAAATGTGCGTTCCGTGCTGGAACGTCTGTCTTTGTTTTGGTCATTTAACCCGCTCAATGCCAGTTTAGCCAATTATGTTTCAGCACCCCGGGTTGCCTTGGTGGAAAACTGCATATTTCATTCATTCAGTAAGAAAGGCTCTCAAAGTGTGCGTTCGTGACCCAAATGCGACCTCCGGTGGACAGTAGCAGACTCCGAAATAAGATGCAGAGTTGCACATGAGGCGGTTATTAATTAGCAATAATTTAAATATTACGAACGTGAGCAGGTTACATAAGAACCCAGTGTTCTAATAACACGCTACGTGATGAGATTTGCAGTGATAAACAATTTGACTGCTTGCTCCAGACGAAACATGACAGAAATTTAAATACAGCCATTCAGGAGCACAGAATAGTGCACTTACTGCACTCCAACACAATGGTAAGGTTTATAATTTAATTAATACATTTTAAACCTCCTTAACATTATTAAATGTACATGCTGAATCACTGATATGCGAGTCACAGTTCTAAAGTTTATTTTCAAGATCTGAGGTGAACTATCTGCTGCTGCTTTCAGTAGTATGGCAATAAATGTGATGTAAAATGGCATTCAAGCTTACATTAATAGCATTTCAACGGAATAAAGCTAAAGAGGTGTACATGAGGTGATCATTGTCAGTTTTCTGTTATTCAGCAGTAAGTAATAGAAGCCGTTTCTAAAAAAAATTATATTAATTTCAGGTGTTGGTTAGAACAAAAACTCCTTTTAACATGGAAAATATTCCTTCTATTGTGTGCCGTTGCTTTTATATAGAACACCATTTATATCAGCCTTAAGTCAGCCTTTAGGCTCGAGCACACTTCTGTTGATGTTGTTAATCTGGCAACCTGTGCTTGCATGTGTTTTGAACCGGGTGTGCAATACCTAGTTCAACCACTGGGTCTTAAACTTACATACTGAATCTTAAAAAAAATCTGAAACTCGACAATATATTTTCAAATATGACCTGATTTTTTTTATGGATTAGCGCTAACAATTAACATATATCACACATTGAATGTTACCTTGCCCAGCTGCGGAAAAAGACTGAAAGACACAGGGATCATCAGGCCAAAAGTAATGACAGTACACATGCTCCCAATTGGAGCGATTAACCTTGGGTTCCTTTGGACAAACTTGGCCCTGAAACAACAGAGTACATGTAATTTATAACACTAGCTCAGTGTGCTTCACATAGCTCTTCTTGCTATGCTTGAATCTTATCTAGTGTTTTTATCTTTTATATAAATTGTTTCAAGAAGTATTCTAGTAATTAGAATACAATATGCATACATTCGTTTTGATGGTTTTTATTTATTTGAGTAATTGAAAATATAAATGTGATTGATTTAAAAAGAAGGCGGAGGGAGTAATTGGTAGGGCCAGACGGAATCTGCGGACAGTTTTTGCTCTAAGCAGAATTTTGGTAAAAATCTGCAGATTTATGCAGAATGATTTTGGGAGTATCATAACTAAAACCTTAATATATGAAATAAATAATAATACCTTTTTAACTTCTATTTCAAGAGTTCCCACTTAGATATGCTTGGCATTTATAGCAGGTTTGGCATGCTGTCCCGGGAGAGAACCCTGAGCTCAGAGATATTTGAGCCCAGGGCTCCCGCCCGGTCTAGAAGCATATCAGGGGATCGGAGATCAGGTAGGTCTCGATCGCTCCCCCTTTAGAAGGGGAGAAAAAGGAGGAGATGGGGTGGAAGGGGGGATTCTTCCAAAAAGAAGATAGAGCAATGAGGAGAAAGTGATCCATTTATATTAAGCTAGGATCAGTCTGATTGGATTATTACTGATTACGGATGAGTGGCCAGCAGGGCACAATCATATCACGTGCTCCTCTCGAAATTAGTTTGTGAAACTTCACTTACTGTTTACAATGCAAATCCAATTAGATCCACTTTATTTGGTAAACAAAGCAAGTCCATATAATATCTCTTATAAAAAGACAGAAAATATCATGTACAAACTATATTGTTAATAAATCATGAATATTTTCATGTTAGACAATAATATTACTGAAATTAATTTAAAAACTGAATAAATATGAATTTACACACATTTACACAAGTAAATAAACAGAAACAATGATAGGCTAAAAATCTTTGGAATTGTGCGTGCACAGATTCCGTGTGGGCCTAGTAATTGGTTTACACACAAAGTAAGGCACTTAGGTAAAACGTTTGGGGTTTGTTTCCTAAAGAATGTAAAATTTTAAAAAATAAATAAAAATATTTAACTCTTGTGTGCTATTGGGGACATTTACATGCACTCCGACAGGATTTTGAGTCTTAATTTGGCAACGACTTGCTCTGTGTTTGAGCAAAGAGAATGATTTTTGGTGACAAATCTTATTTTAAAACATGTTGTGGGAAAATGCTTAACAATACACTCTGGCCAAATCTTCTCCCCCTTTGTTATGTTAGTGTCATTTGTCATTTTTTGCTGTTGGTCACCAGTTGCAGTGCAAAAAACGAGTTAAATGGAAAACAGGGTGTGTATGTGTGAACATTAGCCGCATTTCCACTATCGGGCCAGTGCGAGCCAGGGCTTTAATCGGGCCGGGCCAATAGCACGGGAGGTTGAGAAATGAGGCCGAAATCATGTCGCGTTTCCACTGTCGGGCTAATAGCTCACAGCGCGTCACGCAAACACCGCCCACAGAACGTCCCCGAATCAAACGTCACACAACCCGCCCACTTCAGTGGGAATTAGGCAGATAAAGCACACCATAGAATCACCACGAAACAAAACCATTAAAATGAAGACAACCGAAACAAACAAATGACACGTTACCGTACAGCAGTACATGAAATGTCTATACGCACAGACCTGTGTATTTCCATTCATTACATTTGTTTACTCGCCGACCGACTGTTGGCATTGTGCATCGACTGCTCTCGCCGAACGCAGGGACCCAACACAGAGAGCGCACTCGTCCATAATATAAAGCCACAGAAATTCTCCTTTATAACTCGATATGGCATGTATTTTATAACATCCTCGTTTTGATAGACGTCTTGTTAAGTGTTTCAGCATAAGAGCGAGTAGTCTAATAAAATATAGCCATATTTGTTGCGCTCAGCAGCTATTCACTAAAGCTCTTCATTTAAAGTTTCATTTATAAATTTAACCACATCATATAAAAACATAAACAGTTTTTTGAGGATATAGAACACATTTTGTGTTTGGACTTTCCCCCAATGCGTTTAAAGCAGCGAGCGCTGCGCAGGACTGAGTGACAGAAAAAAAGGTGGGCTAGATTCTGCTTTCACTCACCCAAATAATGCTCTGTTTGCGCGATTTGATTAATATCATCGTATCCAAATACTTCATAAATAATATTTCAAACCTTCTCCGGTGTTAATTGTTTTTAGAAAATATCAAAAATCTTTTTTTTCAGACAGGTCTTTGTAAAATGAAAGTTATAGGCATGTGGCTTTAAAACGGTTCGATTTATGTATTGTATATAGGCTACCTACATATAGCTAGCTTTTGTTTATTTTATATTGGTTTATTTATTTATTTAATGTGATTTTATATATATCCGATATTTGTAATTCTTTAAATTATATTTTATTGTAGCTTAGGCTATTTTATCAAGATATGACAATATTGTTTAAAGTCTACAAAAGTGGGCACGTATTTTGTTAAGTTTTATGTCCTTCTGTTGTATTTATATTGTGCATTATCTCCAAAATAAATAAAGAAAAAAGCCGCTCGCGGCATAACAGAGCTGTGAAGGAGCGCTCTTGCCCGATCTCACACACACATACAGGCATTAAACGCGCACAAACAAACATTTTAAACTTGACAAAAACTCTCGAAAACCTTTACTGTCTGCTGTGTTTTAATATGGTGTAAAGATTATTATGCGTTATTGAAACATAAAGGAGGACGCAGCAAAGAACGTCACTATAAATTGAAACCACTTTATTATTTTATGCAGCAGCCTTACATTTAAAAGGGAAACATAAGGGTGATCAAACGCAAAAAGACCCCAGACTATAAGGCTAGATGTTTTCTTTCCCTTATTTCTTTATTTGTTTGGCGCATGTACTTATGTGCGATCAGAAAACTGCCCGCCTCTCCTTTCACTCCGCCCCGAAGCCCCAGCTGGCCCCCCTTGGCCCAAGGTATTCGGCGGGCCGAAAAAGGCCGGCCGCTAGCCCCAAGAAAGCCCCGCTTTGGCCCGATTAGGCCCCGGAAGTGACA